GCTACACCCCTCCCCCCCCCTTTTTTTTTTCATGATACGTCACTGCACACTTTTTATTTCCCGCCCATATTAATATTCTGATGTCCCAACCACTTTTAAACCGAATATTTTGACAAAATATTTCAATTGAGACGATTTCATTTTACGAAAAGAAAATATTACGCACCAAACGCAATTGCGTAATCAAAAATAGCTATATAACATTTAGCGTAGTTATCGGGAATTATATTTTGCGCGCTAGTGAACTCACTATTGAATGACATACTGGCGTATCTATATATAGCCTGCGTGGTGGTGGTGTTTGGCCTTTGCTGGCGAATTATATATATAGATATTTGTAATAAATGAGCCATGTTGCGTTTGATGTCTGATATGCGCATTTACATGACTAGTTGTTTCAGAGTCACTTGTGCTGTTACTTGGCTAGTTGTTTCAGAGTCACTTGTGCTGTTACTTGGCTAGTTGTTTCAGAGTCACCAGTGCTGTTACTTGGCTTGTTGTTTCAGAGTTAATAGTGCTTTACTTGGCTTGTTGTTTCAGAGTTAATAGTGCTGTTACTTGGCTTGTTTTTTCAGAGTCACTTGTGCTGTTACTTGGCTTGTTGTTTCAGAGACACTTGTGCTGTTACTTGGCTTGTTGTTTCGGAGTTAATAGTGCTGTTACTTGGCTTATTGTTTCAGAGTCACCAGTGCTGTTACTTGGCTAGTTGTTTCAGAGTCACTTGTGCTGTTACTTGGCTAGTTGTTTCAGAGTCACTTGTGCTGTTACTTGGCTAGTTGTTTCAGAGTCACTTGTGCTGTTACTTGGCTTGTTGTTTCAGAGTTAATAGTGCTGTTACTTGGCTTGTTGTTTCAGGGTTAATAGTGCTGTTACTTGGCTTGTTGTTTCAGAGTTAATAGTGCTGTTACTTGGCTTGTTGTTTCAGAGATAATAGTGCTGTTACTTGGCTTGTTGTTTCAGAGTTAATAGTGCTGTTACTTGGCTTGTTGTTTCAGAGTTAATAGTGCTGTTACTTGGCTTGTTGTTTCAGAGTCAATAGTGCTGTTACTTGGCTTGTTGTTTCAGAGTCACTTGTGCTGTTACTTGGCTAGTTGTTTCAGAGTCACTTGTGCTGTTACTTGGCTAGTTGTTTCAGAGTTAATAGTGCTGTTACTTGGCTTGTTGTTTCAGAGTCACTAGTGCTGTTACTTGGCTTGTTGTTTCAGGGTTAATAGTGCTGTTACTTGGCTTGTTGTTTCAGAGTCACTAGTGCTGTTACTTGGCTAGTTGTTTCAGAGTTAATAGTGCTGTTACTTGGCTTGTTGTTTCAGAGTCACTTGTGCTGTTACTTGGCTTGTTGTTTCAGAGTTAATAGTGCTGTTACTTGGCTTGTTGTTTCAGGGTTAATAGTGCTGTTACTTGGCTAGTTGTTTCAGAGTTAATAGTGCTGTTACTTGGCTTGTTGTTTCAGAGTCACTTAGGGAAAAAATATATTACTTTGTGTGTGTGCGTGTTTGAAAGACTCTTTCTTATCAATGCTAACAACAAAAATATATTAATAAGACACGAACAAATTGTGTCAATAGAACAATATGAGTTAGCTTTAATAATAATTGTACATTATACAGAATTAAACGTTTCGGCACATGCCTTCATCAGTACAAACAAACACAACACATTTAAATAAGTATAAATTAAATTTACATAATG